AGAGGTCTGCTATGCCATGTGGGTAGCTCCTTGGCCAGGGATCGAACTCGTGCTGCAGTGGCTGTGGATAGCTTCATAGGGTGCGTCTTAACCCCTTGTACCACCAGGGAGGCCCTCCCTCTAATCTTTTAACTTCATGATTTATGCAGAGTTTCCAACAACTTTGCTTCCCCTTGCACCTTTTTATGCAGTAGCTAAGCAGTAGCAGGGAAAAGAAATTCTTCTTGTGTTTGAAAGTTTGCATATTTGTATATGTAGTGTCACAGGACCAGAAGAACAGGCAGACCCACAGGACTCTGACTGCAAATGACCTTGTTACCTGGTGTGCCCATTGCTATGTATGAGCTAAAGCAAGCAGCACTAAAAACTTGGAACTGACCTTTCATTTTCCTGCCAGTTTTGAGGGCTAAAATGTGGTGAGAAGAAATCTTGATGTTCAAACATCAATTAGTCTTGAATGTGGTAAGATTGTACAGCACTTTATGGAGGCAATTTCATGCTCTATAATCTTCAAAGAAATGGAATTCACTCCCTCACTCGGAGTCAGCAGGTTCTAACTCTGGAGCACAGCAGTGAAGGCTCTACTCAGACTTTATTGCGTAAACTGCTTGTTGACGCCACAGAACATGTTGACAACTCTTGAACCACTTAATCTGTGCTTAAATTGTGCATTCTGCACTAGATGGTGCATGAGTGTAATCTTTTGAAGTCTTTGAATATTTTTTAGGGTCCTGGATCTAGTTCTTATGTGGTTGGCCCAGCCAATATCTCCGGAGCTGATTGTACCACAGCCATCAATCACTGCTGTTTACAGATTAATGTGCACCCTCTCGGTTTAAGAACTGTACTTTTGGGCCTCCCCTGGTGGCGCAGTGGTTGAGCACTGGGCTGCAAAGCTGCCCGCAGCCTCTGCAGCGCCGGTTCGATCCCCGGCCACCGGCGAGGGCCCCACATGGCGTGCAGACCTCTCCTGCTGCCCGCTGCTCCCCTCAGCAGTGTATTTCAGTAAATCTGCCTGCTCCGCTCTACCCTCTAACTCTGGTGAATTCTCTCACCCTTCCGCGCTTCTAACTGTACCCAGTGCTTGTATAAACAAACAAATAAATAAATCTTTAAAAAAAAAAAAAAGAATAGTACTTTAGTAAAAGAGGAGGCAGGCTGAAAACATCAGAGGGGAAGCATTTGGGGTCAGTTTGAAACTGAGGGCCAGCACAGACAACCGGACAGTGTTCAGTCGTCTCTCCAGGAAGCGTTTGGGTCTTTCAGATATTCGGTGGTGCCTGTTATATGTCAGGGGTGGTCCTAACACAGTGGATCCAAGTCATGAGTAAGATCGAATCTGCTTTCCAGAGCTGGATAGTTTTTTTTTTTTTAAATAATAAATTTTATTTTTATATTCCCCATACAATTGCAACCCCCCAGTTTTGACCCCAATCCCTCCCCTCCCGCCCCCCATCCCCCAAAAAGTGTCTCTGGTTCATAGTTTTTTGTTGATTTTGATTTTCACTTTCTTATAGTTACTCATTTTCCTGGTCCCTTATTTAAGTTTTCTAGATTCCTGCTATGAGTGAGACCATCCGGTATTTTTCTTGTTCTTTCTGGCTTATTTCGCTGAGCATGATCCCTTCCAGCACCATCCAAACAAATTGCATGTGTTTATCTTTTTTGAATGCTGAGTAATATTCCATGGTGTATATGTACCACATCTTCTTGATCCAGTCATCTAATTTTGGGCATTTGGGCTGTTTCCAAAGCTTAGCTATTGTAAATAGTGCTGCTATAAACATAGGGGTGCAGGTGCTCTTTGGAATTGCTGTTTCTGTGTCCTTTGGGTAAATACCTAGGAGTGGAGTTGCTGGATCATATGGAAGCTCTATGTTTAGTGGGTCCAGAAATCTCCACACAGCTCTCCATAGTGGTTGGACCAGTTTGCACTCCCACCAACAGTGCAGGAGAGTTCCTTTTTCTCCACACCCTCGCCAACATTTGTTGTTGCTAGTTTTTTTAATATGTGCCATTCTCACTGGTGTAAGATGGTATCTCATGGTAGTTTTGATTTGCATTTCCCTGATGACAAGTGATGTTGAACATTTTTTCATATGCCTGTTGGCCATTTGCATTTCCTCTTCAGAGAAGTTTCTTTTTAGAGAGCTGGATAGTTTTTTAAAGAGAAACAGGCATGGAGATATCTAGATGCTGTGTGAGAAATGTGTGCAGCTTTAGAAATGACTCAAAGATAAGAGTGAAGGGCCTCCTCTGGAGGCGCAGGCGCTTGAGCGCAGCGCTGTGAAGCTGTCTGCAGCCTCTGCAGCGTGGGTTTGATCCCGGCTAGCCGGCGAGAATCCCACATGGTGCGGCAGACCTCTCCTGCCGCCCGCTGTTCCCCTCACAGTGTATTTCAGTCAGTCTGCCTGTTCTGCTCCCCGCTCTGTCTCTGGTGAATCCTCTCACCGTCCCATGCATCTGGCCTGTACCCTGGTTCTTGTATGCATGTATAAATAAATCTTTTTTTTTTTAAAAAGGTAAGAGTGAACTTTCCCTCTCTCTTTCTCAATAATTAATTATAGGATCAATTTTCAGGATTTGGGTGAGGATTATTATTTAAGTGGTACAATACCCAAGGGTGTGATTTCTCCTTTATCTGCCTCCTAGTCTCCCTCTGACCACTGCCGTGCTCTTTAGACCCCTCCACCTCCTGGGCTGGGCTGGTGAAGGTTGCCAGTGCACCCTGAGTGCAGTTCACTTCCCGGGAGTGATTCTGATGGAAGACTGGATACTGAGAGGAGGGAGAGACCTAGAAAACTTGAGGTCCTGGGTTTAATTTATCTCCCTCTCTGCCCATTCCTCATTATCACACTTACTGCGCTGGAGTTTCTCTCACACTGGGAGGAAAGTTGGGAAAGGGCTACCAGCTGCCAAAGAAACAAAGCAAATCCTCCAAGGATGTCCCTTCATCCTCCTCAGAGGGGACTCTGGCTGCCCTCTGGGACCAGGGTACCAGGGTGACTTCATCTAGCTGTCACTTCCGTGGAGAGCAGGACTTTGGAATAAATGGTGCTTTTCACATGCTGGATGCCTAACAGGCCTCCCAACATAGGTCCTGAGTTAGGTGACAGAAGTATTCAGTAGAGTCGTGGCGGAAAGAACAAAAGAGTAAACCAACCCTAGAAATATGACTGCTGAATTAAGGCTACGAGAGGGGGAGGGGAGGGAGGAGACAAAGGGCAAAGGGAGCCCGAAGTTTTAGGGTAAAAGACAGTGGGTGCTTTGATGGTGGCCATGGTGTAGTGACATACATCTAAAGAGGTATAAGCCTCTTCTGCTAAGTCATGTGCAGTGTTGTCACCAATGTTACCTCAGTAAAGAAAAAAATACCCTGTGTTGGAAGGAAGGAAAAGTGAGTGGTATACAAATGAAACAAGATCATTCATGTGTTGAAATTATTGAAATCAGGTGATGGATATATGGAGAGTTCATGGTATCATGACTTCTGATATTGTACATGTTTTAAAATGTATATAATAGGGCCTCCCCGGTGGCGCAGTGGTTGAGTACTGGGTTGCGAAGCTGCCCGCAGCCTCTGCAGTGCTCAATGCCCGGCCGCCGGGCGAGGGTCCCACATGGCGTGCAGACCTCTCCTGCCGCCCGCTGCTCCCCTCAGCAGTGTATTTCATCAGTCTGTCTGCTCTGCTCTCCCCTCTGGCTCTGGTGAATTCTCTCACCCTCCCATGCTTCTGACTGTACCCAGTGCTTGTATAAATAAATAAATAAGTCTTTAAAAAATAAAATAAAATAAAATTTATATAATAAAAAGCACAGATCGAAAAAACTCTCTTAACCTCTTGTTGGACAACACAAAAACCAGACATCAAAGGACCCTCTCCTTTTAGTTAAACACACACATATCAGTACACAAATGAAGCAAAACAAAGTAATATCAAATTATTAAATAAAAGCTTGCAGAGAAATGGAATTCAGAACGATCCTTCCCAGTGGATGGCTGAGTCATTTGAGATCATTTCTGTCTCTGAGGAAGAGTAATAGCCCATCATGTCCTTTGTCTACAACTCTGATTACAACGTGCAGTGATGAAGGAAGTTGTACCTGTCCGCCCCACTGCTCACTTGGGAGACTGTGGCTATAGGAAAATCAGCCTGATATCCACAGAGACATACCAAGTCCTGGGGTATGGAAGGCCTGGCTCCTCCAGAGTCCCAGAAATTCCAGATTTGGAAGGATTAAGCAATCTGCTGTGGAAATTCTTAATTCCTTTGCTCTGAACATTTTTGGAAGGCCTTCTGCTTTTTTAATCTCCTGACTTCTTGTTTGTTACCAAGTTCAAATTCCAGAGAGGGAAGCAGCCAATATGTGTGATTATTTCCTCTTGCACCAAGTGGAACTAAAAGAATGAATTTACTTCACTAGAAATAAATGTACCCTTTGGACCTTAAACTAAAATGAGTAGCATGGTCATCTGGCCCCTGTGCCGGTTGTTATATAATTTACACAAAAATGAAAAAAGATGTCAGAGACGTGCATTCACAATCTTTTTTTAGACATAAGGCAGAAAAGAATAGAGGGATCTTTGAAAAAGGCGTTTTTGGGTCTGTGTTCTGCCTTGGGCAGGCATGGCTGCCTGGTGCTGAGGAAAGATTCCAGGGTTCTAAGTGGCGGGGGTTCACATTCTGGCTCCACAGTTCAGGAGTTGTGCAATCTTAGGCAAAGATCCGGCTAAAATGGGGATAATAAAACTTTACTGAGTTGTCCCAAGACTTGAAAGAGGTTATGTGCATAAAAATTTTGGTAGAGGGCAAACTTCTACTAAATCAGCATTATTATGATATTATTATTATCATAATAGACAACATAAAAACTTGGAAATCCAGGGTGGACTCAGTCTTGTATAGCTCAGCCCTTAAGGGCCACTAAAGACACTTACTTGGGACAGTTGGAGGTAGGGAGTGTGTGGGCCGCCATTTCACCATTGCTGTACCCCTCAGGTGATCTGCTCAGCGTCCTGGACTTTCCGTTCCTGTATTTCTACAGATTCCATGGTAGCTGCTGTGCCAGGTAATCTTAATTCCTAAAGCCCCTTGGATTATTATTTTGTATGTTCCTTTACTACCAGCTGTGTCTTGCCGTCTGTGAAGTTACCCGAATGAGTGGCAGAAGAGAGTGGTGTCAGGTGCAGGTGCTGACATCTCCGTGACCATTGGCCGGGTTGTTGTGACTACCCTCAGGAGTGCGGGGGGCCTGGAGCCTGTGGGGACCCCTATCCTGTCCTGTTCCTCCACCAGGGCAGTGGTTTTCAAACTGGTAGAGGAGCTAGGATTCCCCCACTTTGATTTTCTCCACAAGTAAATTTTACACAAAATTTCATTACATAAAACTGATGATACTGATTTAGTCCGGGAAAAGATTTGGGTCCAGAATTTCAACTCTAGGTTTCCAAATTGGCCTCCTTCTTGCTCCTGAAAGACAGCCTCCCGAAAATCTTGACTGAACCCTAAGACTCTGAGAAGCAGATTTTGGAGACCAGCAACTAGGAAATAGCTAGACATGGGGACCATTACTAGTTGGCCTTGGGAAACACTCAAGGATGTAGGTAGGCTGATTAAATGGATATATTTAGATACACACAAGTTCAAACCCACCTATCTCCCTTCCCTGCTAGGATCCCCACTCCACTAGCTTTGTTATAGCTGGGAAACGAAGGCTTTTTGATTAGAAAGGCTTCTATGGACATCTCAAAAATGTAGTCTGATATGGTGGCAGCCTTGGACTTGGGGGCTGAATTCCAGCTTTGATACTGGTTGATTGTATGGTCTTTGAGCAAATTATCCTGTTTCTCCCAAGATTAGTTTTCTCATCTGTCAAGTAGAAAGATAATACCAGTACAGGGTGATTGTGTGTATAAATAAGATGTATAGGAGTTTGAGCGCCTCTGTGGTGCAAGCATGAATGCCCTTCCGGTCTTCTAGACATTCTAGCTCTTCCATGGGGGGAAGCTTATCACTAACTAGGAAACCAAGGTGCCCCAAACCTGTTTGTTCACATCAACAAAAAAGATTGCATGCTAGGAAATACTAAATTGCAGCTATTGAAGGACCCATAAGCCTGTTGGCTGGCTACAAAGTCCTCCAGCCGTTGGAGCACAAGATCCTCCCCCACGTACAGACCACCCTGATCTGTAGCCCCAGGAGGCCTTTGCCTAAAGCATTGCAGACCTCATCAGTGAGCTCTCCCTGCAGCAAGAGTGCTTCCAGGTGACCATCAAAGACCACCAAGAAGGAACTGAACATTGGCTGAAAGGCATCTTGGCAACTGTTTCTTACCCTGCATGGGTCCTTCTGCAAGCATGCAGCAGAAAGCAGTCTCTTCCAGCCGCGGACTCCTTGTGGATATCCTGATGAGCCGCTCCCCGCTGCCCCCATGTGTCCTGTACATAGATTGTTTTCTCTTTCTGATAAAGAGTGGCAGGAAGACCCAGAAAAAAAAACCCGAAAACAACGTAAAGCCTGAAACATGCCTCCTGGTTTAATGACAGCCATTATCACCATCTGCTCTGGCTGGAGGTAGAAAGGAGAGGAAAAGACCAGAGGGAGGTTGGACAGGTTCCTGCGAGATCATTCCTTCCTTGGATGCAGTGGGTGGAAGCCTCCAGGAGGAGCCCCGGGAGGATTGGCTGCCTCGATTTCTACTTCTAACCTCGCAGCCATGGCCCCTTGAATGTGTCACTTTGTCTCTGATCAAGAGCACATTTCTTTGATGAATTTTGAAGAGCCACGGAGAACTGTTGACAGATTCAGCAACCTGGATTCTAATTGTGCCTGTGCCTCCCATTGCTCATTAGTAAAATGAGATTTGGGGTCAGAAACCTTCTATTCTGAAAGTCTCTGATTTCCATAAAGTAGGATGATGGCTGCTACGCTTATTCCTCCTTTAAGAGCAGAGAATCTTAGGGGACGGGATGGGGGAGCAGGAAGGAATAAAGGGGATCTGGTCAAGGTTATGAGGCTCAGTGAGCATAGCCGTGAAGGGAAATCCAGGTCCTTGACTCCAGCCTGCTTGCCTTTGTGGGGTGAATCATTCAGTGTCTTAATCCACAGCTGTCCTGTCTCCCATGACTGAGGATGTAAATCTCAACAGATTTTACAGATCATCTGGGCCAAGTAGGCTGAAATACACACAAAGGAAACCCAATGCCTAGCTCTGGTCCTGCCCTGAGAATGTGGCTGTGAACTAACCTAATAAAGTGAAGACATACATTTCTGTGAAATTTGGCCTTAAGTATGTTTATTTTTTTTTAAAGATTTATTTATTTATACAAGAACCAGGGTACAGGCCAGAGGCACGGGAGGGTGAGAGGATTCGCCAGAGACAGAGCAGGGAACAGAACAGGCAGACAGGCGAAATACACTGCTGAGGGGAGCAGCAGGCGAGACAGGAGAGGTCTGCCGCGCCATGTGGGACCCTTGCCGGCCAGCTGGAATTGAACCAGCGCTGCAAAGGCTGCGGACAGCTCCACAGCGTGGCGCTCAACTGCTTGCACCACCAGAGGAGGCCCCTTAAGTATGTTTAATTCCATTCAGTCTGCTTCCAAGTAAACTCAAGAAACACTGTTATGCATACTCTCTCAACACACCATCCTCTGCTCTGTTGGGGGAAAATACAGGGAAGCCCACGATTGGAACTCTCCCTCTCAGAGCTCAGGATCTGGGCTGAGTCACACACCAGCATCTATAATAAAGGACAGAGGGCAACATGGCAAGGTACACATGAGGTACAGCCTGTACGACCTGCCCCTCTGGCTTGGGGTGCAGCTGCAGTCATCTCTCTTCAGTTTTCAACTTCAAATAAAAGTCACACTCAAGCTCCCACTTCCAGGAAGTCAGCCTCTCTTTACATTTTGGGGTCTGACATACTCTTGTCCCCAATTGCGCTGCCTCCAAATGCCAGAGTGACCGTTCTGTCTAGAGTCCTCTTTGCTTTGCCCTGGGCCACACAGTGAGGCTCTTGAAAAAGGTTCCATCACCGGCCGCTACTTCCCCAGGTTGCTGCTGTGTCTGTTTGTCCTTCCTGGTCCAGAGCTCTGAATGGTCTCTGAAATGCTGCCCCATCCTCAGGCTTTCTGAGGAGGATGGGGAGAGGGGTGCTTTTTCAGGTCACATGCATTGATTTAGGCATTCTCCTGAAGCCCAGCTTTCTAGAAGATTCATAGGTGCACCTAGTTTGGGGGACTTCTGTTCTGAGCCAGCCACCACTTCAGATTTTTACATGAGCCCAGGGGCCATTCCAGATCCTCTGTCCTCTTAAGTTTCACTTTGGCAGCCTTTCCTTGGCAGTTTGTTCTACTTGAAAAAAAAAAAAAAATAGAATCTCTACTTTGGCAAACACTAAGTGCAAAAAACACTATGGGAATGAGCAGGAAGTATTAACCCCCACTTTTTTTTCTTTGATGATTTAGTCAGAGACCTCTCAAATGTCTGTACCCCTACCCACCTCCAATGAAATGCTCTCATCATAGCAAAGTAGAACTTAATGATATTTTTTTTAGTTTTTGGAGTTTTTAATCCAGAGGTCACTAGAAAACAGGTGAGACAGAGGTTGTGTAATGATTAAAAACTAGTAAAATGTAACAAAATTAATGGCTAAAGGGGGTGGGCCTCACTGACAAAAAATATTTTCTTTTTCCAGTGGAATTTTAGGATTCTTTCTCATGTTCAGCACAGTGAAGCTAAAAAGCCTTATGGCCCCAGGGCAGTGTGCAGCCTGGATTTTCTTTGCAAAGGTAAGAGAAAGGGAAGGGGTGGGGAAAATCTGGCTGAGGATCTCTAGTGTCCAGTGTTCTCAGAGCCTGTGTAATGTCAGGTTTTCTTCATGAAATCATTTCTAGTCATTGAGCCTCCATTCATCCAGGTAACACTTTCTGAGACCTTTCACCTGTTTATTCAATATGATGTTATCTTTCACACATGCCTGAAACATGTCCTCAGTTACTTTCACACATGCCCTTAAGCTCCTTCATTTCCTTGAGCCTTAATTTCTCCATCTGAAAATGAGGTTTTGCCATGAGAATCTCCATGGTTTCTCCAGTTCTAAGACTCCTGGTGCATGGGGGCAGGTCTTCTGAGCATGTGGTTAGCTCAGTGACTTGCCCAAGAGGTCTCAGCCTGACAGAGTTGATAGAGAAAGGAAAAGAAATGGACAATTGGGAAACTTTGACAAAGGGCTATTGTGAGAATGCTTATTGTGTATCTGATTGACTGTGGTTAAAGCATAAGGCAGAGAGCAGGGAAAACTAGAAGGAAACAGAACAGAAAAGCAGCTCTGCAATGCTTTGGAACTAGCTTCTTTCTACTGCAGCATTTCATTTTTCTAATATCAGCAAGGGAGTCAAGTTAGCAGGATGTTCATTGAGGTTTCTGGATTAATCTAGTGAAATAATCCTTTGCACTTGTGCCTTTAGTTATCTTTGTGTTTGTTGGGTTTTCTTTCCAGAAAACAAAAATAAACATGTTTCTTTGAAAATAAGATTTCATGGTGAGGTTTTCACTTACAGGGTGAAAATGTTTCTAATGCACTAATAATACTTTTTAATAGCATCACTAATTCTTATTCCAGCAGAATTTAGAGAGTGACTAAGATACTGGCTTTCAGCTTGACAGAATGAGGAGGTTAACAGATCTGGAAAGCTAGAAAAGATTGTCAGAAATACCCATTCCAGTTCTCTAAAACTTGACCAGAGGCATTAACATTTGTTTTTGAAAATTACTACGCTCTGGTTTAGTTTGTGGCATTCTTGCCTGAGGCTGCTCCCATTCCCTCCTCCCTAGCTTTGTCAATGTGATGTTACAAGCAGAATACCATGCTGCCACTTTCAAAAAAGGGCTCCTACTATTTGGCGTATTATTGTTAAAGTGGCCTTTTCAGTAATAAATGAAAAAGAAGAGCCAGGGCTCCATTAACTTGAGTTTATAGTCTCTTCCGAGTAAGCAGTGACCCAGTGGGGGAATTTAACAGGTAGTTTTGAGCGGTGAGAAGCCTTTAGGGACTTCCTCACTCTCCATTTCCCAGATAACCTTGTCTGGGAGCAGCAGAGATGGAGTGTGCCCAAGACACCCACGCATCTCTGGCTACTGGAGCCTCTCTGTATACACAGGGAGATGTGAGAGAGCCAGCAGAAAGCAAAAGCTGGGGAAGGCTTGGAAACCACCTGAAGTTTGAGTGTGCTCCCTAGCCCACACACAGGGTCAGAAGCAGAGAGAACAAGCCTTTCTGGTTCAAGGTGTTTGAGCAAAATCTCTGACTAATCTTTGCCAGAAAACTAAGCTATGCAGATATGTGGATGGTCCTCAGGAAGCCAATATTAAAAATAAAAACAAGGAAATAAATGGAATCAAGACATCGGGAACTGTACCTTGTAAGGGAGGGATTTCATAGACTTAGTCTAAGAATATTACTAAACAGGCAAAACGACAATACCAGGAGCAGTTCTCTAAGAAAGTGAGAGTTTCACTCATAGCAGGAATTTAGAAAACCTAAATAAGGGATCAGGAAAAAGACCAATTATAATAAAGTAAAAATCAAAATCAGTAAGTGACTATAAACCAGAGACACACTATGGGAAGGGGGTAGGGGATGGGTGGAAGAAGGGAGTAAGAGCAAAACAAGGATGGTGGGAATTGTATGGGGACTATAACCAAGATGAAAAATGCATACATTGTATAAAAAATGAAAAATGATGTAAAAATATACAAAATTAAAAAACCAATAAAAAAAGAAAGTGACAGTTAAGAGTTGTTGCTGTATATTATCTAAAATGTTCAGGATTCAACAACAACAAAAGTTAGAGGCATTCAGATAAACAAGAAAGCATGATCTACACACAAGAAGAAAGCAGTCAATAGGAACTGTCTGAGTACCTGTCCTCAGATAGAGGCTTTGGTCAAAAAAGACTGCAAAACCCAAAGGAAAGTATAAAGAATTAAAGGAAAGACTCAATGAATACAGAATCTCAATAAAGAAATAGTAATGATTAAGGGGAAAAAATGTGGAAATCCTGGAGTTGAAAAGTATAATAACTGAAATAAATGTAAAAATTATCTAGAGGTACTTTATAACAGATTTGAGGTGACAGAAGAAGGAATAAATAAGAAAGTTTTTTCTTTTTAGTGAAGAAATATGATCAGAGCTTCAAAAACCTGTGGGACAACATCCAGCACATCTTCGTAGCTATTAATAATTACAGGAAAGAAGAGAAGTGGAGGAAAAATATTTGAAGAAGTAATATCCAGAAAACATCTGAAACCTGATGAAAACCTAAATTGACAGATCTAAGAAGCTCAGTGAATTCCAAGGGGGATAAATGTATCTGATAAAGGACTTGAATCTCAAATATATGAAGAATTCTTACATTTCGTTCGATGAGGCAACATACAACCCAATTTAAAAATGATCAAAAGATTTGAACAGACATTGAATTACAGCTAGGCTTGAGGAAGTTTTTTGGGTAATGGAAATGTTCTAAAACTGGCTTGTGGTAATGGTTGCACCATCAATTAAGTTTATTAAATTTGTTCATTAAAAATCATTGAATTTTACATTTATATTGGGGGAATTTTATGGCATATAAATCATCCCTGAAAACTCTAAAATAGTAATGCTGAAAGCACAGTGTTCAAATCTTACCCTTTAGAATTACTTTTTCTTTTCTAATATGACTTTGCCTATTTGACCATTAGTTTTATGAATCTTCATTTTGTTTATTATTTTTTTTCTCTGAAAACTCTGAAAGACATACAATTTTCTTCTCTGTAGTTAACTCAAAAAGTAAAATTTTTAATTGGTTTCTGCAATTTAATGCTAATCCTTCTTAATTGTGGAGGATTAGATCAGATTAGATGAGCCATTAAGGTCTTTGCTAGTCTCAGGACTGACCTCTCTATCTCATTCTTTATCCCTCTCTCTTCTTTTCTTTTCTATTTGACCATAACACTGTTGTTTTCAGTGGCAGAATATTTATCCATTCTTGGGACCACTTTCACATCAAAATGTGCTGACATTTGAAATGCAGTTAGTTATACTTAGTAATCCAGCATTTCCCCATGATGTCACTGTGACTCTTCTGGGTGCCTGCACATTGGGAAAATAATGCAGAAGGATGCTCCATTGGCCCCAGAGGATAATTGGATTCTGTGAAAAACTGAAATAACAGTTTCAGGAGGCGGGGTTACTCGGGGCCTTCTTTGCTCCAAAAGTTCCCATTTTCTGTCATTTTCCAAGGAATTGGAACTTCGTCACTTCCGAGTTCTGAAAGAAAGCATCCCTGCTTTTATCTTATCCTCATCTTTCTTGCTTTCTTCCTTGGGTCTGATTATGTTCCTCATGGGAAAAAAGTGCTTTCTAAGTCACTTTTTATTGTTATCGCTATCATTGCTTTTCTCTCTGGAAATTTTAGAAACAGTCTAAGAAGCTAAAAACAACAGAATATTTAGCAACCTTTTAAAAAAGTTTAAATTTAAAGAAATTTAAAAAATTTCTTCCTTGATTTTGATGAATTCAGGCACATGAAGTCTAACTGCATCTTCATAAATCTTGGGCCCCCTTCCCATCTGTAAAGTATGAATGCAGGAAGAAGTAAATGAATTTAAGGGAAAAGCAATGACATATGTAGACATGTAAAGCTGTGATGATTGTTTTTCTCCTACTGGGTTTCTCCAGCAGATTTTTTTAACTCCTTACATGAGAATTCTTCCTGGATTGAGCAATGCTTTGTCTCATCCTATTAGGTTCTAATCGAGCAGAGTTCTCAACCTCCACTGGGAAGAAACAACTGAGGCCAAGTGAGTTTTTCTTGAGGATGAGCCAGGAGAAGGGAGGCATCCCCAGACAGCAGCACTGGCCTTATAGGGTGCTAGGAATTTGGTGTTTACTCCAATTCAAAGCTCTCTCTGTAAGAACACTTTCTTTAAGCTGCCTCCATTTTGTTTCCTGAAGGCAGTGTGGTGGGTTGACCAGAAAACCAAGTCTTAGCTGTTTCTTTTTATGACCCTGTGAAAATAATTTTTCTGTAGTTTGCCTTAGATGTGTCTCTTGATTTGGTTTTGGTTTTTGATTGTTGGTATTTAATGCACACAGGGCCAGGATGGGTGAGGTGGGCACCTGAGTGTCACACCCACGCCTCTCACTTGCCTTTCCGAGGTCTTTTCCTGTGTCATCATTTACTGCCTGCCTGGAACAACTATTCCATGGGACTTTAAGATATACTTGATTTTTATAGTTTTGGTGGTCTTAGAAGTGTCTTACATCAAGATAAATGATCTCTTTGAGTGATTTTTTTAGCCTAGTCAGCATTTATTAGGTAAACCTTGGAGCCATGGAGTGGTAGGAAAGCATTAGTACATGTGTGGTTCCTGCCTAAGGTATCTTATAAACCACAGAAGGTAAAAGTAGCTCGTGTGAGGCTATTAGAAGACATTGCTGAGCCAGGTGTTACTGACTTCAGGAGTTGGGGAAGGGAGAGCTGTGTGAGTAGACTGAGGCAGCAGAGTGACTGACACAACAAGTGCTGGTTATCTGGGAAAGGTGGAATAATGGGATGAGGGCCTTCCTGGGTGAGTGTCGGAGCCCCTGAGACAGATGTGCAGGTGAGGAACCAGGAGGAAATAAATTTGACTAGAGGAGCTGGAGAGAGCAGAGGGGCGAGGGGAAAATTGGGCACAGAGAGAGATAGGAAGCCCTAAAAGCCAAGCTGCACAGGCTGTTGTGAACATTGGAGCAAGACTGCCA